ACGTCCCCTAACCTCCTAAGGGGTAATTCGGGGACATCCCCTAACCTCCTAAGACTCTAATTCGGGGACGTCCCGTAACCTCCTAAGGGGTAATTCGGGGACATCCCTCAACCTCCTAAGACTCTAATTCGGGGACGTCCCCTAACCTCCTAAGGGGTATAATCAAAAACCCTATCCTAAGGAAAGGGCGATTTGCCCTCTCCAACCGAAGGTCGGGGACGTCCCCTAGCTGTGTAAGGAGAGGACGAATAGAGGACGAATGTGTAATACTACTAAGTGTTTCGGTTTTACAAGCTGTTGTCCTCTGTTTGTCCTCTCCAACCGAGCATCGGGGACGTCCTCTACCTGTGTAAGGAGAGGACGAAATGACCTCTCCTTACACAGCATGTTTAACCAAAAACCTGCTGTGTAAGGAGAGGTCGTCACAGGTCGTCATGTTGCCTGAGCTTGGCTGTTTCGGCCACCCTGGCTGCCTTGGGCCTTCGTCAGTGAGCTGTGTAAGAAGAGGGCTGTGAGAGGACTATTGAATAAAATTCCTTAGGGCAAAACAACCTTTTTCGAATAGTCCTCTCACAGCCCTCTCCTTACACACTTCGCTGCTGTCAGTCTAAGGAGAGAACTGTTAGCCCCCTCCTTAGAAGCTTCACTCAAGTCGTTTCTCGTTGTTTTCGGCTCACAAGCTTTTCCGTGTGTAAAAGCTGTTTCGGCTTAAACCGTGAAACGTTCCAGGCTGCCTCGGCCTGCAATCACAGGCTGTTTCGGCCTGGAATATAACCTCACAGACTGGTTCGGTCTTGGAGCCAGTTTGCTATACCACAGTCCACCCTATGAGCTCTGCGACGAGTTGATCCATGACTTTTTCGCGAAGATCATTATCGATCTGACACCTCTGGACGGCCGCATGGCTTGGGCAGCCTTATGAAATCTGGTAGGGTATGTAGGAGTTGCCTTCAACCCGGAGCACCAACGCCTTCTTGAAGACCGGCTGCTTGCATTGCTTGAAAAAGAAATGACAAACCCTGAGTCCAGCTTGTTTTCGTCAGCTTACAGTGAAGCCGTCGGTGGCAGTGGGCAGGCACCTG